TACATAGGTATAATATTTTCTTTTGGCGTTTTAGTTATTAATATCACCAAGCATGTTCATTATGTTGTAGCGGTTGAATTATTTAGTGACTGTGCTAACTGCAGATGCTGTACCTTCGGTCGTAGAACGTTTGAATTGTATTCGGGAAGTCAATAATTCAAATCTCAGCCGATCGTAATAGATTTTATTGTGATTTTTCCGCATGTCCTCTGCACAAATTGCAAGATAGCCTGCTACTTTAACAGTATAGTTGCTTCCTTAAACTTCCTCGTCCGTCATGCTCACTATTCTTATATATCCGTTTCCTCACCGGCTACAGCCCTCTGACGTCGAATTGTAGTTGGATTTTTGCCCCGTATTCAGGTCTCTTATTCGAGTATCGAACCCAAGACCGAGAGTTTTTCGTGATTTTCCAGTCTCTCCATTTAAATTCTATTGTACTAGCCAATACATACTTTCGTAATCACTTCTCATTTGACACATTTATTAAATACACAGAAACACAAATAGTCTTTACCGTTATTAAGTCTTATTTCGAAAATATTCATTTCATGAGGTGGAAAATCTGCGTCGAGGCTTTCAAATAAAATTCTTGTTGTGACGTAGACATTGGTCTCAATTTGATTTTTGCTTTTATTCTGTTTTCTCGTATTGTTTTAGTATTTTTATTAGTCTTTTACATTGGCTTTCCGAAGCCATGCGTGATACTGGGTGTACTGGAAGAAACATATTTTAATCTTATTTCCCGAGAAAATTAGAAAAAGAGCAAAGTCTACTCGAAATTAGACTATATTTATACATTTTGCAGGCATTATTGCATCTGATTTACACTTACTGCTCACTAAAGTAAAGCAAAGTTTAAGACATTTTAGTCTACTCACATTGCAAAAAGTCATTAAATATTTCTTTTGTATTTTTTAATAACTTAGCCCCGAAATTCTGTGGGGAAAATATAATTTAGGAGACCTAATCTCAGAAGGGAGATATTATTAAAATGAGTATTAAAGAAGCATTATGTGAGCGACTACATACAACTGACTCAGGACAGGGCCCTGTGAAGAACACGACAATTAACTGTAAGCAACTGTCAAGTTCCATAAATGGCGGGGAAACATTTCCACCAGCAGAGCTATCATCCATCAGCTTCTCGAACAGATTTCTGCTCCATGCATTAAGTCTGGTGCACCAAACGATTCTAGAATGTTTCTACGTCCAAATTCTGTATGTCTCGACACCATTCCGAGTTCAAGTACGCATTGTAAATTGGAAATCGATCTGGCAGAATCAATATTATCAGAATGAGAACAAAACAGACAATTACCGATCATTACCAGCACGATGACCCAATAACCTACTTCACTGACGACGAACAAGTGTCACGCGATACGACATTATTTGGTACAGTGTTGAAAGATAAATGAACTCTGAGTTTCCACTACCTTCATGAAATGTCGGTAATTTTATCATTACATGCAAATCAACTAATTTCATTCAAAACAACTAACTACTGTCTGACTAGCTAAGACAATCAAAAAATTCTCAGTATCTCATAAAAATTCAATTTCCGAATTAAAAGAAATACCGCTATCGCTCCCTAGTCTGACCCATTTTAATATTATCCTCAAATCCGTGGTATATTCCCTTCTGGTTTTCTATCCAAAATATTTATGCACTAAACATCTCCGCCTTGCACGCTACATGCCCCGCCAATCGCAACCTCCTAATTTTACGGCCCTTTTAATATTTTGTAAAGTACGCAAATTACAAAGCTCTTCATTGTGAAGATTTTCTCCATTCCCTTGTTTCATACTCAAGCTTGGATATAATTTTTTTATATCATCGCTTCTATTAGGCTAGTAAGATTCATAAAGACCCAATGATTTATTTTCATTCAGTTTAGAGTAAATATTTGTGGCTGAACGAATGGTGATTAACGCACAAATGGTGATACTTCAGGTTCCCGCCGAGACCAGTATGAAGAAGTCTCTCTCTAATGAGATGTTACGCCGTGTGGTCAGGTAGAAGTTTACCGACGTTTCCGAGGTGCTTGTTGCCTTTATCACCAGGTCGATTTAATACTTCCGGTAAGGCTACAAGAATTTATCCTTCACAGTACTGCATAAATTTTGCAAACATACAGAAATACAACTTTGCATGTACCAACCTGTTCTGCCCTTCACACAACTTTCAGCAACGTGCAACGCTGTTGGATCGAAGTCCGAAAGACTACTCGCAACTTCTCGCGTGCCAAAATTCAGGTGCCTTTTAACAATAAATTAATCAGCCTTGTTGAAGTTCATTTGCTAAAATAATTTCTAATCATAACTTTCCGAGTATTATTTTTAAAGATTTTATCCAAAATCAAATAATATTAAGAATAATATAATTACTAAATTCCTGAACAGAGAACAGCAGTGTCATACTTACGCACCTGGAAACAGGTGAGGGTAGTTTATCCTAATAACGCACTACAAATGGAGCGGTTATCGAAATATACTTTCCAAAATCTGACCGTGTTTGTTTGAAATTCTGCAGACATGTTTACTTTTTGAAGCAGGAGTTCATGTAGGTGCTCTGGCATACTTCCACAGCCATGGTGCCCATTTTAAAGTCGTTCCCTTTGTCTATAAAAAGTTCCCTGTTATTAATCAAGCGGTTACATTACATAAGAAGTACATTACTATCGTCATATCAGTGTTATAATATGAGATGTTATCATGAAGTACTCAAACGATCTCAAGGCTTCTTCTGTCCGTCCATAGTACTTCCAACACTCTTGTATCTATGAAACTTTTATGCAAAAATTGACATTACATAGAAATTTATAGCATAGTATAGACAGCAAACAGAGATAACCTCAACAACCTTCCTTTCACTTCTTTCAAAAACAAAGACCTCATTACTCGTTTGTAAAGTAAAGAGGACATATTGTTGATATCAGCTGGAAACAGAGTATCAGAGGGAGAACGTAAAGTGGACGAAGTAAGTGTACGTACACTAAAGAGAATGATAATTTCCTACATCGCGTTGCTTATATAATGGAAGAAAATGTGATAAAGGTATGAAACAACCAAATCTATGATAAAGTTTCAAGAAGAGTACTTGTGACAGGGAGAGACACACGTCTTAATGTCTCTGATTTCAGAAATATAACTAATAACTTTAAGTTTAAAGTTAAATATGTGACAGACCAAAGACGGATGTCTTGTGGAATGTTGCGCCGTGCAGTCTCGTAGAAATAGGCAGTGATTCTGGGGGCTCCTACTGCCTCCATCATCAAGGCGGTTCCTGATGACGGTGTCAGTCAGCGCTTCAGAATCATCGGCCTATTTCTACGAGACTGCACGGCGCAACATTCCACAAGACATCCGTCTTTGGTCTGTCACATATTTAACTTTAAACTTAAAGTTATTAGTTATATTTCTGAAATCAGAGACATTAAGACGTGTGTCTCTCCCTGTCACAAGTACTCTTCTTGAAACTTTATCATAGATTTGGTTGTTTCATACCTTTATCACATTTTCTTCCATTATATAAGCAACGCGATGTAGGAAATTATCATTCTCTTTAGTGTACGTACACTTACTTCGTCCACTTTACGTTCTCCCTCTGATACTCTGTTTCCAGCTGATATCAACATTATGTCCTCTTTACTTTACAAACGAGTAATGAGGTCTTTGTTTTTGAAAGAAGTGAAAGGAAGGTTGTTGAGGTTATCTCTGTTTGCTGTCTATACTATGCTATAAATTTCTATGTAATGTCAATTTCTGCATAAAAGTTTCATAGATACAAGAGTGTTGGAAGTACTATGGACGGACAGAAGAAGCCTTGAGATCGTTTGAGTACTTCATGATAACATCTCATATTATAACACTGATATGACGATAGTAATGTACTTCTTATGTAATGTAACCGCTTGATTAATAACAGGGAACTTTTTATAGACAAAGGGAACGACTTTAAAATGGGCACCATGGCTGTGGAAGTATGCCAGAGCACCTACATGAACTCCTGCTTCAAAAAGTAAACATGTCTGCAGAATTTCAAACAAACACGGTCAGATTTTGGAAAGTATATTTCGATAACCGCTCCATTTGTAGTGCGTTATTAGGATAAACTACCCTCACCTGTTCCCAGGTGCGTAAGTATGACACTGCTGTTCTCTGTTCAGGAATTTAGTAATTATATTATTCTTAATATTATTTGATTTTGGATAAAATCTTTAAAAATAATACTCGGAAAGTTATGATTAGAAATTATTTTAGCAAATGAACTTCAACAAGGCTGATTAATTTATTGTTAAAAGGCACCTGAATTTTGGCACGCGAGAAGTTGCGAGTAGTCTTTCGGACTTCGATCCAACAGCGTTGCACGTTGCTGAAAGTTGTGTGAAGGGCAGAACAGGTTGGTACATGCAAAGTTGTATTTCTGTATGTTTGCAAAATTTATGCAGTACTGTGAAGGATAAATTCTTGTAGCCTTACCGGAAGTATTAAATCGACCTGGTGATAAAGGCAACAAGCACCTCGGAAACGTCGGTAAACTTCTACCAGACTACACGGCTCTCTAACCCAGAAGATAGCCATCTTCAATCCAATCTAGATTTCAACCATAGCGACCAACTTCTTGCATAAAATTCACACTACACGGAACACTACATTATTTTTCCCTGTGGGCCTACTATGTTAAATATTCACCATACAGAAAATGTAACAAATAAAAGTTGTAGCTCTAAAGTGTTTATTACCATGCAGGCTATAAATTCTTACACTACGAACCATTTATTTGAGAATATTAAGTTTATTATGATGCTGGTCTGATTGAAACGAAAATTAAATTTGGTCTATGAAGATTTAGTGTATACCCCAACACCAAATTCAACTAGTTTCAAAGCTCAAACAATTTGAATTATAGAGACATTTCCAAGATACGTTAATTCTATGCTCTTTGTGCGAAAACCTCGTACTACAAATAGTTCGGCCTCGTTTGAGTTTAGACGCTTTTACAAAATGTTCAGACCAATGGAGCGACTTGGCGAGACAGAGTTACCTGCAGCTGAGTCACTTTTTCGAGAACTCCGCCATCCCGACCGTGATGGAACACTACAGGTTTGCCAAGGAGAGGCGGATCCAAGAGATCCTCAAGTGGCAGTACTCGGATAAGGCAAGGGAGGGGGATACGAACGCACTGCTTGTCAAACTATTAGAGGTAAGTAACGGCGTCTACAGGTCCCGCGGGGACTCACCCTGTTTCACTTTTACAACAGTCTCTTCCAAACAAACTCTTGCTTTATTTTGAAGCAAGTGATGAATTATAAAACGGGCTTTCTGCTCTAGCAAAACGTTTCGAGTGAAGTATAACTAGCCATTTGATTGCTAGACATAAGGTGAACAAGACAGAACGGTTGTACTCTCAAATATATAATACATTATTTTAACCGAATACATTATTTTGTAATGCCCATTCCTATACTGCAGTGGTTTCTGATATTCAATGTCTCGCTTCCAAATTATTCTAAAACACCCATGCTACTACTCTACTTTTGACTGATTTTGTGAACATAATACATTTAGTCACTTAATTAAAAGAGATCAGTGCCTAATTTCATGTTGAATACACAGTATTACACTTGAGAGAAAGTCCGCACATAATTAGAGGAAAGCTGAACTAAAACATGTCTTCTGGGATGTTGTACCGTGTAGTCTGGTAGACGTTTACAGTCGCTTAGGGGTGCTTGCTGCCTCCATCATCAGGGCGATGAGCATATAACATTTCATCGAAATCGAAGTGGTTTTGAGTAAGAAATATACAGACAAACATGGTCTCTTTTTAATGCTTTCATTCTGTATAGCCTGCTGTATGCAGAGGACGTAATGACTTGATGTTTCTGAATAATGTCGTGATAAATTTGAAATATGAAGTCAAGGATTTAAGACATTATATCAATCAATTTCCTTTTTTCCCCTCAGTTCTATACGGACTCTCAATTCGCAGCCCCAAACTTTCGCCAGTTGGCTCTCCTCGCCCGCTCTCCAGAGCCGCTCTTCGTGTATAAGTTCGAACAGACTGGCGGACCGGATCTTTATGGCAACACCCTCAACATCACAGGTATATAAACTTCCATTCTTTTTTCCATGCACCTATCAATTTAGCCCTTTCCATGCCAGTAACGAGATATTTCTCTCGGAAAAATTGTTACACCCTAGACATTATATTCTTTGTAAATGTATATATACGAGGTGCGATCGGAAAGTTCACAGACTGTGTCAATAGAGGGCGAACCGGATGTAGTACGAGCTTCTGCTGCTAGGGCACTCCCAGGGGAACTACTTCGAGGGTGATGGATGAATTTAATACCTTAGATAAGTGTACGAGTTTTTATAGGCGCAGTCTGGAAACTTTCCGATCGCACCTCGTAAGAGCATTTTACACGTGCATTTTCGAATTCTTGGACATATCTTGACAGTAATATTGAGGATTTCAGTCATTGATAATTGAGGATCATCGTCGTTAAAAATTGTGTAAAGCGATTTCCAGTAAATTCATGGCATCCGGAAAAAAAAAATATTTGCAAAAGAGACAAGAAGTTGAATTAGTAAAATCTAACAAACCACAAAATGCCCTTGAAATTTTAGTTTCCTTTTGTTCGACGAGGATGGGAACCCCGCTCCCTCACACCAAGGTGAGTTCGGAGTATTTTTATGTTCAGGGTCTGCCCACGGTTCGGAGTTTCTTTACCTGTTCGGACCTACGTTGATGCTTAAGCTGGGAGGAAGACGATTTACACAAGACGAGGACCGTTTCAGCAAACGTATCAAAAGATACTGGGCGGACTTCATCAGGCAAGGGTAAGTAATTATAGGCCTGTGTTGATTAAACGGTGGTTATCGCAAAAGTGAAACAGGGTCACGGGGTTACAAAAACAATATAAAGAACTGGCAACGGTAAGGCCATTAGCTGGATGTGGATTATTAGGTAAAATGGTTTGCCAATCGCAGATTTAACGTAGAGCTATCTAGTCTATCTTGTGGAGCCATTCTCTCAACCGCGGTATTTGATCTAATGCATCCAGGAATCTTAATCTGTCTACATATGGAAAAATCGGCTCTGAGGTCAGAGTTATAATGGCATCCAAAAACCAGTTTTATAACTTCCAAGATTACTTTTTCGAAACGTCGTTTTACGAAACTTATTACATGTTGCGTTAATTTATTTTCAAATGTTTTATTACATGTTTATTATCGTGTTTGTGAAGGAACACGCGACTTAAAGTAAACGCAACTCCGAGTTTCAACCACGACACTGAAATAGGGGAAGGGAAGATGGAAATGGTAGGGGGGGTGCAAACGGCGAAGAGGCTGTCTGAGCATGTACAGTGTAACTCAAAATATTTTCTCCTTTTAATTTCGACACAGTCGCCAGCATTTTTCATACACTGAATTTTGTGGAGCAAAGGAATTGTAAGAAACCATAAACGTAGACACACACACGCCTTGACCCGCGCGCTACTCCCGGAGCTTAAACGTAAAAATTTCACATCAGACAGAGTAAAACGAAGGACTGGGATCCCCCCCCCGTACGTGCTAACTCTTTACGGTCTTCCCCTATCTCCGGTGTGTGTATTTGTAATGGTCAACCGAGCTCGGAGTTATGTTCCGTCTGTTACCCAACAGTTGTGTGGCTGATGCAGCGTTTTACAGGATTGCATTTGGTGAGGGATTGCTGTATTGACACACGTGGGAAACTTCAGGCCGCAAGACAGCTGAAAAGATTACTACATCTGGGAATAGATGCAAAAACACGACGTTGATAGAATGGTAGCGGAGGACAACATGGAATTATAAACTCACAGGGGCAAGAATAACAGAAAGACGAAGGAGACAATGCAACTCCTGAAATAAAGAAAATATATCCGAAAGAAATATTTCGTACAAAAGGCTAACGTCTAAGTTCGAAGGTTTCTGACACATACTATTAATTTTTTAAAACTTTATCGCTTGTCTAAATGTTATTGAAAAGTAAAACGTTCCAGAAGTTTATTCTACTAATATTTTCAAATAAAAGGAGGATAAAAGCCCTAATCTTCTGGGTTAATCTCAAACCTGCACTACCAGATACAGTTGTAGTGGCGAACAGAAAAGTCCATGTCCCTGTCGACAATCGAAACCCGATCTTACATCTCATAGTCAATCACTATACTGATAATTTTCCCGGTTATAGTGAATAAAAATAAATAAATAATGAATTTTGATGACGAATACTTTCTGAAAGCGGCAACCTGAGGAGACACACATACACAGAAGATCATTATTGAATTGGTTATTAAGCAGGCTAGAACATCACTCATCTCTATATGGAATATTATGGTCACTGTATTTTAACCCAATCTAGTTTAAAAATAAAATTAAAATTTTGTGAAATCTCTTACATGCACACATGCACAGAGATACATACAAAAACTTCTGCAGTTAAAACAGTATTATTTAATAAAAACTAAGCAAACAAACAAACAAACTATAACACTATAAAAAAGACTCTAGTTTCAACCTCAAGAGGTCACCTCTTGAGGTTGAAACGCGTATGGCACTAGTGTCTTTTTTATAGTGTTAATTGTCTGTTTGCTTGTTTTATATTCTAATACACTACACGGTGTGCAAAGTTTTAAGATTGTTGAATAAAGTAAGAGTCGATAAACAGCTTGTTTCACTGTGACTAATTCAGGAGCCCAAACGCGCCTGGATCTTTTGGGTACGGGTTGTCATGGAAACGAGCGACGCCTGAGGACTATAACTGCATGGTGCTTAGGAGTGAACAGCAGCAGCAAGGACAGTCCATGAGCTGTGAGCTGGGGCAGGAGGAGGCAGGTCTGTGGAACGACCTTCTGCCTCGTCTACAGCAGATGACAGCTGCAGACACACAGAGCGGCTCAGACACTCGAACCACGGACTCGAGACTCGGCCAGGGTGAGAAGCAGACCGTAAACTAACACCATGTTAAATGATCTTCCTTGAGTAATTGATGGCTATTCAATTGGCCAAGAACTTCCTTGTTAAGAACTCATCACCACGATGACAATCTCCCCCGACTGGAATCTACTTTGATCCACGTCATAGGTCCATAACCTACAATCGTGTTAATATTATTAATCCATCTGCGGCTCGGTTATTTTAATGGTCTCTTCCCTCGAGATTTTTGCACAGAAAATTTGTACGCATTTGATTCTTTGCTCAACGAGTGCTACATGTCACACCCACCTCAACATATAAACGAAGTTGTAAGTTTGGTCCAGTTTGCTTCACAACTTTGATTGGTTCATATAAAGCGAAAAATTGTAGTGATTACTCGTGACTATTCAGATAAACTACGTTAAGGAGGAAAAGAAGATATAAAATTAAATGTACTTAACAGAAGTATATATTTCTCCTCTTCTCTTTTGTGAGTGCAACTCTGTAGTTGAGGTTGACATTGAAACAGGAGAGGCTTTAAAAAAATCTTTGTTTAATTCCTCTTACATCCCCGATCTTCCAATACTTTCTCTTGTTATCAATTCTAATTGAAAGATTGTTTTGCGAATCATAGCCCAAAAACTTTGTGATCCCTGTAAATTTTGTAGCCATATTTCTCTATCGAGTCTCTTGCTTAGAGTCTTCGGCTTAACTCAACTTAGTAGATATATATATATATATAAATCCATTCTCTTACGTCCTAATGCCTTTATTGAAAATGGCGATCATGCACAAAAAGTATACACACATTAAACGAATAAAATAAAGACATTTTAATAAACTAAATCATTACATACGTCAGCACTGACACTTGTGTAGGTGTTCAAAATGACCATAGTTAACTTCGTTGCAAGCTGACAAGGTTAATATTTCGTATTATATCGTGTGTACACGTTTTGGAATATCATTTGTACACGCACAAACACAGAAGCCAGACGATCCATTCTTGGCCCCCTTTTAAAATTCTTCGATCAAGAAACAGCAGACATTATTTCCATTCCGTTTTATGCGGAATCAATTCCAGTGACCTCAGAACGGGATTTCCACCCAGTCCTTATTATTGAACAAAAATATGAAGAAATACAACTATGACATCAACTTTTATAGCACCGGTATTTATATTTTATAATTTCGGTGTTAAGGAAATGCAACTCCATAATCTGAATTAAAATTCCCTACTTTCCTTTCCAGCTCGACACCGACAACTGGTAATGTTTCCTAGCACGATTAAATACAAAAACATGTAATTAGGCGATCGACGATTAAGTCACTAAATAACAAATCAAACAGTCGTAATATAATTCGATTGTGTATGCGAGTATTAACAAGACCGTTTCTGTGGCACAGATTCGAGCCAGCCCTTTAGAAGTGCGATGTACACGCTGATCGGCTTCGTGGCGGTGCTTCTGGTCATGCTGGTGATATGTCTCGTGCTCCTGAAGAAGCACTCAAAAGGACGAGACCGTGACTTTTTCTGACGGCGTGCGGACAGAACTGGGGCAAAACAGAACGACCCGCCACAAGCTTGGCGCTACAACGTTACCACCAACAGACTCTAAGCGGCCAACCTCAAAGGAAGGCCAATCAGTAACAGGCCGTGAGCGACCAGCTCACGACGAAGGCTGAGCAACGAATGGGTTCACGACAGATTCTCCAGGAAGTCTATTTCAAACAAGACAAACTGCACAGAACTCCTGATAGACTACCGATCGCTTATTCTGACTATAAACTGAACAGTGGAGGGCCAACTGAAGACTATTAATCGCTACGATGACTGACAAAGAAGTGATTTGATATTTGGCCCATGCTCCGTAATTGATCGGATACCACTAAGCGACGGAAAGTTGACATAATCCATTTTCAGAAACAGACAAATTCTTGAACTGAACGAACACTTTGTGAATAAGATGTCTTTTCTTAAAAAGACAAGTTTCTACAAATGAATGTACATCCAAATGGTTAATATTATGGATGTACAGTTTATATTCAGAAACTGATATACTGTGCTGTTTGATAAAAGAATTCCCCTGTTCTGTCCATTGTACTACAGATACGAATTGCTTCTAGCAAACATTTCAAAATGCTACTATATTGTATATACATATGTAAATAAGCATCAATAAATATTAACAATTAAGCTACATTCATAAAATATTTTCTTATGAGATTTGTATAATCAACATTATATATATATATACACACCTTGATTTAAGAAATTCAAAATTAATTAACAATGAGGAATATGTTAGTTATGATGTTTGTACTGTAACTACAGAAATGTAAGAAGTTTTCACCGAACAAAACACCTTCGTAAATTTTGGGCTGGGCGTACTTATTTTTAATTTAGAGACCTGTATGTAGGAAGTTATATTAAATCTACAACATATTTTAGGAACAGTTTATGTTCTACTTACTCTAAGGCGATGGGTGGACTAACTTGCTGGTCTTACGGAGCTGAAGTCAGGAACAAATGTCGAAAGCTGTATGCTCACATCGCGTTCTAAATTAAGCCTATTTCAGCACTTCGTCCTTGTTGCTTCATATCTTGAGAGTGCTGTTAGCACAGAAATGTACAGCAGCTTCCTCACAGATAGACTTGAAACGTGTGAAAATTCTTTCAAAAGTTAATAAGAGGGACGTCTGTGTGTCTTTCAAACCCATGTCTGTTGAAATGTTAATTAATTCCTCACTGTTTTGTTAATAATCCTAGTTCTGTAACAGGGAAAATAAATGCTTCGTAACCACTGAAAACCTATCACAGGTAGAAAATCCTTTCATTGTAACTTGTCTCGTAAATGTTCTATTATGTCTGAAATAACATTAACCACTTCATTAAAAATCTTCCAATGCCGGAAAAGTGTGATATTTCTACTAACGCATGTCCTCCAAAATTCTATTTTGTGTAAGGAGGAATCAATTTTTACGCGTGCCAAGAAAATTTTGATAGTCGTATAAATGTCTACTAGGTCTTTGGAGCCACAGTCTCAACACTGAATAATATTTCTGAACCAAATATGAATACACAAACCCAGACACTGCCCTCATAACCATCAAACCTCCGCGTGCAGCAGAAACGTTATGTAACCCACTTCGTCACAAACCTCACACACACACACAACTTCGTCCAACATTTTCAATGCGTTTCTAACCTTTTTACACGTCAAGACCTTGACGAATGATACAGCGCCTACTAGAACATTCTGGAGCAATGGCTTTAAAACGAACTACTATAACAACCCATCATGCACCACGTGTACAAATGTCCAACCAAGGCATCTTACAGCCTTACATGTCAATTACATTGTAAATATCTTGAAGATTACCGTCATCTGGGTTATTGCGACATCTAGTATGGTCGATGTTTACCAACGTTTCAGAGTTCATACTGCCTCCGTCAGCAATCTTCAGACTCACCGCTGTGAAAATCTCAAATCCTACATGGAAACATTTTCTATAATACGAGTAGGTAAAGTTTTAAAACCTTGCATTGAAATATAAAGTATGTACACAAACAAAACTGTAGGTTTACTCATAAAGTATCTCGTCTTAAACGTATGTGTGTCTCACAAACGCAAGTAAAACAACTACGTAAATAGGTTAAACTCGAATAGCAAAACGATGGCTACTTTTAATCAGTTCGATATGACATCCTCGATTCTTCTCGAAACTATAGGATTCCAAAGTGGAACTTTCTTTGATAACCTGCAAATGACTGTTACCAATCACACAGAAGAAAGTCCCTAAGCACACATACGCCCTAGGTGGCGTGAACACCCTTAATTTAAATTCTTCTCTTAACCATTTTAAGGCGCAGGCTTGTATTTCCTAAGTTCCTTAAACTACAGTACCAGAGGAAACAGCTATGTAAACTATTCACTGAACTTACATTCTTAGGTAATTGTAAAAAAAACATATATTATTAATTATTACTATTTTTGTGTTATGTATTTTTGCTACTGTTAACACACATGAAGTCTCGCGAGAGAGGTTTTGAAAGGGCACTGATAATATTGATTTACAATGTGTTTGGTAGTTTAACAATCCTTAATTGCATCCTTGCTTTGAATGTAACAAAATAGGTTGGTTGCTTACTTGGATCATTAATATTAATCTGATTTACATTATATAATAAAATAAGAACATATAAAAATATTGCTCTAATAATTCCTTCTTTCATATGACCATAGTTATATCAATTACAGAACTCAAACAAATAACACTTGATTCATCCACATGCAAAAATAAAAAATTGCAAAGACTTATCAAGCTGAAAAATGAATTCTCTTCTTAACCCATGAGCACAAAGCAAAAACTAAAAAAAGTTCTTAAATTCTGTACTCTCTTTACTTCACTGTCAACATTTGGAACTGTAATAGAAGATATTAACTCTTTCAATAGCTGTTATCACCTCATCTGTTCCAAACAATTTTTCCGGCTCTTTGGTATATGTCAAAAATAATTAGATCAAAGTATGATAAAGCGAAAAATACATAATCTTACACGAGAAAGTTTTCCCCTTTTATAGGTCTAGTACTGTTAGGATAAATTTATACAGAAAACTACGGTGGGATTAGCACATGAACAGGATAACTGGCAGATAAGTAATGCATACAAAATTTTTGTAGAGAAATCTATTGCGAAAACTGAAGAGCTGGTACAATAACATTAAGATGCAACTTAAGAACATGAGTACCCTAAAAAATTACAAATATACTGTGCATCGAAAATGTTTTGCTGAATGCCTTGTATATAAACAAAAAATGGACTTATCTTTCAGAAACTGAAGACAAAGACTGAATGAAGTAAAGTAGAGCCTATTTATTTAACCTTTACTTACTGTGTACCAGCTGGCCGTGCGTCACACTAACGTATCATTAAATTGTTACCCTTGGAGTAAATGTCCAGCAGTCCCATAGTACAGGGATTTAAATCCCATATTCTCATATGACAAGGGTTAAACAGATCCACTCCTTTGTTTGGAGACCTGTTTTGAGGCCCAGTAACACACTAATAACCAAAACTAAACTTTTGCATATGCATCCTTATAAACTGTAACCATGGCAGTATATGAAGGTAACGGAATATCCACAAGCTTGACAAATGCCTAAACGTGACTTGGTTCCTTCACCTGTATATTTCATCTCTGTCCGACACTCGGTTGGTCTCAGGGCAAAGGCAGTTTTAGATTACATATATTCAGAAATAAACACAATTGGGAATCTTTTTTGCAACACGTGACAGTACGTATGTAACACAATCACATAACACAAAACATTAAATAAATAGAACTGGAAATGTAGTAATAAAAACAACAGAATAATATACATTAAAATAATAATAATAAACTTAGTTTAAATTGTATTCATTTTACTTTTCACTAAAATAAAAAGAATATACTGAAAACAACTTCAAATTAAAAAAAAATATGATCAAGGTGCAGACATATTAGTAGCTTTTTCACCATTTTTAAAACATGGCATTTCCTTTCCCCATACTTCAAAGGTCAAATTCTTTTGTTCAAAATACATATAAATATACTTGTACATACGTATGTAGGAGCGTACGCACGAGCGCACATGCACGCACACATTCAGAATCACCTACCCACATTTCACTTTCTTAGTAATAATCTATTAATAAAACTACAGCCCACAACATCCCACATAAGTCATTTATATACATTGTTGTGAGAACCTGAAATCTCACCACACAATTTCATGGCCATGTGTGTCTACCAATAATGCCTGAACTAATTTTTATTAAACTTGGTATAAAGTGTAACCCATTCCACTTTTATACTTTTAATCTCCTGCCATCATTAACACCGATTGTGAATTCTTGGGGCAGTTGCAACAAAGACCCCAAAATCCTGAATCATGACAGATCACCAATAATACGTATCCCAACACCTTATGTAATTTTTTGTGGAATGCAAAATAATGAGACGGAAATCACGCAAAAACTACATTTAGTGTTACACATCACAGTAGTGATACCTAAAGAGACACTGCAGCTAGGAATGTGGTGACAGATAAAAGGCCAAATTCTCAATGAAAGTTAAATTATGTACTTAGTGACAGGGTAAAATTTTGACGTTACAGCAAACACCATCTAGATAGTGGAAATCTATGAATGAAATAGATTACTACATTACATAATTATTCATTACTGAAAGCCTATATCAACAACAAAACCAATTAGATTCAGATCAATATTTAAAAAAGCTTTATTCTGGGGGGGAAAAAAACTGTATAATTGTGTTGTAAGATATGTAAATAATAAAACAAATTAGCTCATAGTATTTTGTTCCAGTACAGTTTGTAAATATTTAGATTTTTAATATGTGACTTATTTTAAAACAAATTATCTCGCTACTTACCAAAATACAACTTAAGTTCATTATCTTACATACACACGTATTTCTCAACATAAATAACAAGTTGTAACAACAAATAAATTAGAAAGTTATTTTAAAATAACTAGAGACCAAACGATTGTGAGTTGACATACTTACTGGAACAGCAGCTGTTGATGCATTCGGCATACACCGAGTATGAGAAGAAGCTGGAATTTTCAACTGTGACAAATGAAGATTTCTGTCTTCTGGGTTGTTGCGCCGTGTAGTCCGGTAGATGTTTACCAACGTTTCAGAGGTTGTACTGTCTCCGTCATCAGGGCGATTCATCGCCCTGATGACGGACTACACAGCGCAACAACCCAGAAGACAGAAATCTTCATACTCACCACTGTGAGAACCTCAAATCTTACAACTGTGACAAACTTTGGCAGAAATTTATGCTTCGAACCTAACTACTCCACATATCAGATAATCCATACATTTACAGAGTTAAATTCACATATCTTTCTCTCTTCTTTTAAAAGAAGAAAAATAACTTTCAGCAGGTACAATGCCATACTTCATCCTGAAGTACACTTCAAACTTCAGGAACATGGTAATGCTATTTAACATCTATAACTAAGTCAGATCAAACATACAAAACACTCCTCTATGCAAACAAAGTTAACAGACTTACTTTTGATTTCATAACACATTAATACACAGCACTAATATTAATTAAACCATCTTTCGGTATATATGGAGTCCTAAGGCGAAAATACTACCCCTCTGGCAAAGCACAGATGGCATAATTAAGAAGGATTAGGATACATAATTTGGCATGATATAAAATTATCACATGGTCCTAATAGCTCTGTCTTGACTGATTAGCAACTCATCTATGCAAATATCATCTTTCCCTGATGTATCAATGAGTTTTAATCCTATGACCATATCGGTTGGATTCAAAAGATCTGGGCTCGTTTCCATTATGACAGATACAAATTCACGCTCCACTACAAGTTCTTGAAACATGTCGCAGTCTTCAATAGACCAATCACTATGTTTAGGTTGGATGCCTGAAAACAAATACCAAACCTGATATATGACAATACAATGAGAACCCTAAATTTTCTGTTACATATTTTCTCACCTGTAGCCAATTTAACGGTAAATTTCATTGACAGGGCACACACTCGTATACTGCAACATGAGTATTTCTTCAAATTTATAATGCCAGGAATAAACAAACAACAGAAATACACTACAGTGTTTCATGAACAATGATTTAAGAAATATATGGTATAAACATGACATTTGATGAAGATTTCTGTCTTCTGGGTTCTTGCGCTGTGTAGTCAGTCGATGTTAACCAACGTTTCAGAGGTCATGCTGCCTCCGTCATCAGGGTGATGAATATGCTAATAGGGTGTATGGGGCTAGGTTTATAAGTGCCGGAATGTGAATGGAGTAGCCTGCCCCAAGCCAATGGGAGTGGACCAATAGGAGCGCGTGGGCGAGTGTGAGAGAAAGGAAAGGGAGAGTGGGGGCTCGGAAAGTGCGTTCGGTGGGACATGGGAGTTCGGTTGAATGTGATCGGGGCCCTGAAAAGGGCCAGGTTGGTTCTGGCGGTGCACTCTTGCTCGCTCTCGGAGTTCTCAAAGAATGTGAATAAGAGGCTTCCAGGATCGGCTCAGGTGAAGTCCATCTTCCCTGTTGAAACGTTGGTTAACATCGACCAGACTACACAGCGCAACAACCCAGAAGACAGAAATCTTCATACTCATCGCCCTGATGACGGAGGCAGTATGACCTCTGAAACGTTGGTAAACATCAACCAGACTACACGGCGCAACAACCCAGATGACAGAAATCTTCATATTCACCGTTGTGAAAACCTCAAATCTAACATGACATTTGATGTGAAAGAAATACCAATATCTGACCATTAAGTTTGTAGCACAAGAAATCCCACTACAAAAGTGTTTTAACATGTTAAAAATCATACTAAGTTGTAGTTGAGTTAACTCCAATCACAGAACCCAATCATTCAACCAATCTCCTCGATGCATTACACCGGTTCTACAAGTGCTGGCGCACTTTCTTTCACAAAACTCACCTGCGAGCTTCGCTTTGATGGCTTGGTAGGGCAGCTCTTTGAACTGGCTGGTTAAGGGCTGCAGCTTATCTAGTGGCAGAATTGACAAATCTCCATAGTCGCAAAAGTACACTGATACCGAACTACCACTGATAATATTGGACACACACACTCTGCAATTATACATGACATGGATAATTCAACATCAACAGGATTGTCACTGGGCAAAATTTTGGTAGTAACACTGGTTGGAACGACTGTAAATGCCCCATTTTAATATTTCTATATGCCAGTTGAAATACTTACTAAATACCAAAGTTTGGACAAGATTGCAACATTGCAGCAGATATGAAGTAGGTGATCTAAAATGTCATTTAAGCAAAATGTAATAATTACTTTAATAAACTAATTATGCCATTGTTTTATCACTCTTGGTACACTATTGACATCTGTATGGATTTATCCAGAGCTGAAAGCTTTTGCAATTTTCTAACGGGATGCAATTACTTCTCACTCACAATATTAAGGACAATAACATTTTTCTAGACCCACATATAAGCTGTTCCACCAGAACAAAGCATCGTATCTATAGTAAGCACATGGACAAAAATTAATTTATTCTTCTTTTCCGGTTTAACAACGTCTGTACATTTTCTGGTACCCTTTACGGGTCCCCAACTTTTCAGTTGGCTTGATCTATGGATATTCAGGACTCTACCTGTACACAAGACAACACAACACAGAAAAATATCCATGGCTTGAGTGGGATTCGAACCCACGGTCCCTGCAACCAAGCGGCACAAGACCCACGTCTCAGACCGCGCGGCCACTGCGGACCCCAAAAATTAATTTATAAAATATCTATAATCAAATGTGACGATCAGAACTCTCTCCATCAACGCAGTATCAGTAAGAACAGAATTACTCTGGATCTTACACTTTTCCCTTTTCTCCATTTGAAGCCAGCACACATCTCAATTCTCTTTAGGTCGTATGAAATTGGAGAATGGGTTATATGTATACTGATGAATTATAATTCGAGTTATACATAGTATATAATCTACATCTAAAATAAATTAAATAAATTACATTACTGATTATTCAGTGTTTATCATAAAATAATATATATTTTTTTAAAATTTCACGTACCCCCAAAGATGTCTTCGCGTACCCCCAGGGGTAGCTTACCCCAGGTTAAATACCACTGCTCTATATCATGTTCTGATTCGGCGGGAAACAACCTTTGGGCGATGACATTGGTTACACACTTTTAAAATACTTCTGTTACTGTAAAGACGGAGTCAGAATGTCTGTGCTATATAGCTTCTTGCTTTTGTTCAAAAGGTGTTAATATGAACATCGATTGAGACATTACATTTTGTACATTCATCGCCCTGATGATGGAGGCAGAAAGGACCTCCGAAACGTTGGTAAACATCGACCATGTTTATAAAATGTCCTAAGATGGTAGAACTAAAGGAGAAACATAACTCTCTTGTAAACTAAATCGGCTTCTCCCTAAGTGTAACGTAATACAGACTGCAAAGGAGGTTATGGACACAATCAAAGATGCAGTAAGATTGTGGCATTACGTCTCACTCAGCATCCAAGCCACGGATGTGACCTTACAATGAGCTGATGAACGTAATGACGTTCAAATAAAATAAAGTTCAAAGCTCATGTGGTGGGAACGGCCTCGCCCCAAGCACCGTTACATCGCCGTGATGATTATTTGTAGCCACGCTGTAGCAGTGACTCCAGTAATTTTTCAGTGCACCTCTGGTTACCTGTTGCTTCCATAGGCAGCGGGGTCACGTCATTAAACGCGATGCTCGTTCCGTTGACCACAATGCACTGCGGCTGCTGTCGGACCTAGAAATTTTTGCACAACGCATGCGCGAAAGGAATTGGGGAAACTGGTTGTTGTGGACGGAAATCATTTGCGAATTTGCGAATTTGGTTGAAGTACCTCGTGACAGATAGAATGAAGGGGTTTGGCGATGATCCTTAGGGAATTTAACATCTGAACGTTTATTGATAAGCGGAAAAACTCTCAACTGTAATACTCGACGGGAAATTAGTGCAAACCCCGTTGTAATTCGCCAATGTCATCATTTAGGTAAAGCCTAAATTATTATTATTATTTATACTAGAGTTTACATAGGTATAATATTTTCTTTTGATCAAATTTCTATCTTTGTATTAGTGTTTGCCTGTCATAGGCTCTTTGCTGTTGGCAAACACTCAACAAAGTAATTAAACTATTATTATTATTATTTAGTATTATTTATTTTATTTAGAATTATTAAATTGAATTATATTACTTAGGTATCGTATTTAGCCCATTTACTTTTGGAATATTATTAAATAAATGAATCGAATTATTATTATTATTAATATGGTACATTTATATATTTAGTTTCATTTGTTTGTTTTACTTTTATTATTATTGAAATAAATTAATTACTTATTATATTTTATCCTGTACTCTGGTTTAACCGCCACGGTGGTCTAGCGGTTAGAACGCTGGCCTTGTAATCCTGGGGTCCTGGGTTCGATTCCCGGTGGTGCCCAAATTTATAACTTGTGTTGGGCAAGGCCGTGGTCCAGGTATCACGGAGTTTTCCTCCGGGGCTTTCCCGGTTTCTCCGTGGCATCCCAACAATTACTCCATTCACACACAGAAGAAGGCAATGGCAAACCACTTCTGAATCATCTGCCAAGTAAACGGACCTGTCGTCAGACAGAACACTAATAATAATAATAATAACTCTGGTTTAGTGCTTGGCTGTTATTGGCCTCTTTGGCTGTTGGTAAACACTAATAAATGAATTGAATTACAGTTTGGTTATTTGTTTTAATTTGATTTTTGCTTTTATTCTGTTTTCTCGTATTGTTTTAGTATTTTTATTAGTGTTTTACATTTATATTAGTGTTCACATTGATAGTTTATTTGTTTTTGTATTGTTTGTTGTACTTTTGTATTAGTGTTTGCCTGTCATAGGTTCTTTGCTGTTGGTAAACACTAATAAAGGAATTGAATTGAATTATTATTTCTCTTATCACATCTTCTTGAACGAATGATAAACCCCATCACCCAAACTTCAAAATTCGTTCATTATTATGTGTGATGTTATCGTACGACCATCTTTTATAGAGAACCTATTAAATGCTTTCCTGCTATTATTCTCAGATATTTATTGATATTATCATTGTTGTTACTATTTTGAGTGGAGGTTTTAATCTCAGTTGCCGGAGTACTTACGTAGATCCGACACAGCATCTCGCTTCCCACCTTTGGCACAGATAATGATAGGACAGGTCTCCGTGTCGATAACTGGTATTTTTATACTCTGATGCCTGAAGGTGCTGCCATCTCTGAAGACCGGACGTAGCTCTAGTAATTATGAAATCATTCCATTCACTTGTCCGCTGGACGTGGCCTTCAGGAATGTAATCCACACGGCCATAAAAAAGGACAGTGATCAGTGGCGGTCATACCAATTTCTATACTATAGGTCAGAGGTTCTTAATATGTAACCCGCGGACCACCAACGGTCCATGACATGTATTCAGATGGTATAAACTCTTTATCGTTGCAAGCCTGTACACTATCTTGTAAGTAATTTACTCACTATCATTCGACGCTATAAAGTCATTGAAAAATCATCGTTAAATAATAATGAGACTCATGAAAAAGGTGCTTAGACATTCAGAAAAATCTGAGAATTTCTACAGCCCTGTATTTTGTGAAAAATGAAACCAGAGAATGTAGAAACTACAAACACTCGTGTAACCAATGGAAAGGCCACTTTTAATATTGAATAACTTCTTCAAGGTCACGTTCTCAACTAATATTTGTGAATATGTGCTAATTATCTTCTTGCTATCTCTTCGTTTGCCTTTGTGTAACAACTAGATAACGCCTGAACGTATTTTAATTACATTTTATTTGGCAGAAAGTATCACAAAAATTGGTGTAAGCATTTCAATTTTAGTTACAAATCGGACAAAATAAACGAGCAATTCACACGAAGACCTACATAATTCCTTTTATATGAAAGTGATTAACAGGATACCTTCGTTACCATGGTTACCGTTTTCCCTTGGTTTCCACGTTTACCTGGGAAAAAACTTCCAGCCAACTCTAACCTCACTGTTGGTAGTTGTATTTTACAAATTTACACGACAAACTGAATAGCGCAGTCTGTAAATACAATACTGAAGTTCAGTTAAAGTAGTTGTCGAGCCGAAAAAGATATAACGCTCTGCCATGGCTGCAGCGTGTCTGTTCTTATGCCGCTCTTACCCTCGACCTAACTACGTATCCCACCGCTAGAGGCGTGTAAGTTCGGAGCCAGATCGCAAACCCCCTCCCCTACTCTGCATCCCTTAAAAGCTGAGGTATAAAGCTGGATATTTTAATGAAGGTAATAACCTGAGATGGAAATTAGATACAGTCAAAGGGCGAAGCATGAGTGTGTTATCAACGCAGAAGGCCTTGATTTCGTCTGGACGCCAGCCACTCGTGTTATATATTGGTGACCCAGTAAAGTGATCGTATAACTGTCCAGCTTACTACGAAAACTCTTGATTTATTCAATGTAATTAACAAGGAAACTAAATAACTTCATGATAGTATTGTTTGATCGGTTGATAATTATTTGCTGCTAATATAGAAGTCAATGTCCGTCACACTTGACTGGACAGGTGCGCCGTTTGTGTGACGCGGAAGAAGTTGAAATCGAGTTCTAACGGTGGCGCCTCTGGTAGCAACAAATGTAAACGAGGCTGTGGTGGATTCTATGGTGGGGTGTGCGTTTTGTGGGAGTTTAAAGTCAGGCTGGCGCGTTTAGCAGGAATCCGACTTGCTTGTACAAAGACAACCTTTCAATATCTGTAAAAATGGTAAGATATCTTAACTTTCTTTATAAAATGATACTTGGCTCTTATCGGAAAAACTTGTAGCTCTTGGCGGCTGGTCATGTATTTCCGGCCGAGAGCAGGGTTGTGACAGTTGCGTGTAACCATGCCAACGACCTAACAGATACGTAGTAGGCCTCCCTGAACATAAATACAACGACAAGGTTTATAATATTGTCCCATTAAGCCTAAAATCTGTCTATAGCAAATGATGACCACACCATGCATATTAATAATTATGAATTTATTTCAGACGATGCTGTGTAGATTTATTACCAACACGATCACATCTTCCCTTCTTTTAAATTTAATTATTTCCTTCATTCGACATTAAAAAGCCGTTGGAACTGATACTGTAGTTACTAAATTCTCTGATCTTTGCTTCATAACCTTAAAATTGCTAGCGCCACGTTGTATTATGTTGAGTGAATGTAAACATATGACTCCGCATCAGCGCTGTCTGCGGAATTTCATGTAAGCAGGGTTCGCGTGATGTATCATTTCCTTGCACTTGAATAACAAGAGAAGCGATGTTAACAAAATGCAAGTTAAGTGCTTTATTGTAAATAAAACAACGTTTATGAGTGATGTCGCAGTAACCTTCCGCCCAACGCTTAAGTGTGATTTCTGTTGGCCCATTTGATCGCTTAACTGTGTTCGTATTAGACTTAACGAGCATGGTGAATGAAATATGGATGGAAGAGACGGAGGTTGGCAAGCCTACTGTGATTTCCGGAACTGGTAA